TGATATAGTATTTATAGTATGTAAAATCTAATGAATATCTAGTAAACTATACCTATTATAGTTTTTCCAAATGTGTGATTCGTTTGTATGATAAACCCTAGAGTAGTGTCGACTTTGTATGTAAAATATAACATTTGTAATAACGTTATTGAACATTTATACTCAAAACATGAATAAAGTGTTTGATATTTATGTAACAACATGTTTCATTCCAAAAGGACAAAGTGTTATCGTGACATGTTGTATGAGAACGTTCTCGTATGATAGTTATAAATCACATATGATTGATTTCCTAACAAAAAGCATAGCAAAAGATTGATGTTTTTCACACGAGGATAATCGTGTGTTTACTTGTATTCCCCCCCCCCCCCTTAAAAGTGTATAAAAGCATTTACAAAGCATTTGAAAACTTAGTTGTAGGGGTATGAACTCACCTGATAGATTGAAGAAGGTGAGACGAAAACTGAGCAGAACTTCGACTTGATAAAGTTGATTTCTCGGGATTCCCAAGAATCTCGGGAGTGTAAAACCTTCCTTTGGAACTTGGATGTGAAGACCGGGGCTTCGAGATGGCTTCGAGGGTTTAAACGCAGAGCTTCGGCATGAGAAAGAAGAGAATTGAACAATGAAACACGGAACCCTTTGAGCTCTATTTATAGCCCAATTTTTGGGTCCCACGTCGTGGAGTCGATCCTATCCCCTTCCATGGACGAGACGTCTGCTGCCAAGCCTGAAAACCCATCAGTCATGGTCCCACGTCGTGACCATCTGTGCCACGTCGTGGCCAGCCTGACAGCCTCAGATTTTTTGTCTCGAACTTGTAAAATCCATAACTTCTGCGTACGAGCTCCGTTTTCGACGTTCTATATATGCACGCGTAGGTGAAAATATGCTCTACAACTCTCGTTTAGATTTCGTCGGCTAATTTTGATTTTATTTTTAATTAATTATTTTTAACAGGCCGGGACACGAAAACTCCGTCATAAATCCATAACTTCTTCATCCGACGTTCGTTTTCGTCAGACTTTTTACCGTTGCACTACTATTGTTGAGATCTTCGATTCTCATTTAGGTTGTTTCGGCCAAAAGTCTCTCGATCTCTATTTCGAGTTTTTAGCTGTCTACTGCTATATCCGGAACTTGAAAAAATCATAACTTCCTCATACGAAGTCAGATTTGGACGTTATTTTCACGTACGTTTACGGTTTAATGAAATCTATAACTTTCATTTAGATACCTAAGGCTAAAAATTATTGTATTGAAACTTCGCGTTTTACGTTTAACAATATTGACGGTTTTGCTGTGAATCTTAGGTTGGTCATAACTTCTTCGTTATAACTCGGATTTTAGTGTTCTTTATATTTCTGAAACCCTTGACACGATATCTATCATTTATGCAATCCAGTAGAGATTTTTGAACATTTTATTTTTGACGATAATTTCATTATATCAAAAGAGATTACAATTCTTGACTTTTTAGGTCATTACATTGATTCGAAATATCGGGTTGTCACACATAAAATTCAACACCATAATATAACATTCTCGGAATGTATCTCGGTGGCCATATGATAGTTGAGAATTAACAAACTCTCATCTTCCATCAGTGATAATCAATACGAAATACTCACTTAAACTAATAATATGATTTTTGAGAGAAAACAAGATCAAAAACAATAACCTTCATTCTAAAATATATTCACATTTTAATATATACTATGTACGAAATAGTAGTCAAAATCCATGAATCAGTAGTCCACTTCTACTTTATAATAGTCAAAAATATCAAATAGTAGTAATATATATATATATATATATATATATATATATATATATATATATATATATATATATGGGGATGATCAAATGAGAACACTTAAAAGGTTGAGAACGCGAACAGTTATGGACCAATCATTTTATGAGGGCATAAATGAAATTTTACCATCTAATTAAATTATGATTTCCTAAATTTTAGTGATTATGATGACAATTACCCAAAATATCTCATTTTTTAGATACTATTCTTTTAATGAACCAATAATTAATAAAATCATGATTTAATGTTTATCTAAGAAAACGTTTTTTTTTTCTTTCATTTTTCATTTTTATGTTTCGTTTTTAGCAATCAAATATCAAGAGAATGAATAATTTATCGGTTTACCTCATTCATTATTATTTTTTTTAAAAATATCTTCATAAATAATGATTTATACATTTCATTTTAAAATAAATAAAAATGTAAATTATAAATGAATTAACTCAGTTGTATTTATGAATACACTTGTAAATCGTAAATGAATAAAACCCGAAAAAAAGATTATAAAATCAACTAAAATGGTAATCATATATAAATAAATAAAACACATTTCTATTCATATAAGAATATAATTATAATAAAAAAATGAATAAGTTACAATATATATATTTTTTTTGACACCAAAACTAATACTACAATTACAATCATAAATGAATAAAACACATTTGCGCTCCTTCCAAGAGAGGTATTGGTGTCGGTGTTTCATTTGGTAAATCTCCCACCTCCCAGCATATGCATATTTATTCATTCTATCTGCAAAAATTTTAAAGAAATAATTATGTACAATTATATAGTCATTCACATATGAATACAATGGTATTCACAAATGAATAAACTGGTATTCATAAATAAATACAAAATAAAAAATAGTGTAAAAATTATCATTTCTTCATAAAATGAATACCCCTAATTATAAATAAATACACTTATTGATCACACATGAATACAATGAATACTCTTAATTATAAATAAATACACTTATTGATCACACATGAATACCCTGCTATTCATAAATAAATACAGTCATTCACACATAAAAACACTGATATTCACAAATGAATATCGTGAGACATAAACAAAAGAGAAATCCACATCAAGCCTTAGCGGATTAATAGAATTTCGCCGAAATAGTGATTCTGATTAAATAAATAAACCCTAAGACCGAATGATTTCACGAGACATACGTATAGAAAGATCCGGTCAAATCCACAACAAAATTGCATCACCAATGACAATTGAATCGCCTGGATTGCATAAAAGAACCCTAAATGAATTTAAAATAACAAATCGGAAACTAAAATGAAGCAATTACGTGGTAAAAGGCGATAGTTATAAGAATTAGGGCTTTTGTGGAATAAGGGTAGAGTAACTAGAGGGATATCGTTTGCAGGATATCAAAATCCAAGCATCGGGCACCAAAATTCTCGCATCACGATGCCCTAATGGTGCTGCTGTCCACCCATTCGCTTCTCCGACATCAGATTCATCTTCTCCGGCTGCTCCGCCTCTTAGCGATGGAGACGTTCTTCCTTTGCCTGTCGATCGACGTTCGTCCTTTACGTGTCGATCGACTGTGTCGATGATGGTGACATAAGCTTTTGATTTCTATGAAGATAATGACACCGAGAAAATTGAAAGGCGGTGTGCCCTAGGTATATATATATAGATATATATATATATATATATATATATATATATATATATATATATATATATAGAGAGAGAGAGAGAGAGAGAGAGTGAGAGAGAGACGAAATTGAAAGGAAAGAGTGAGAAGTTATAGGAATTAAATAAATAATCAATTACTATTATACCCTTTTCACTATTTCAAAGTTACACTTCAATACCAATAAATTCCATAATTTACATAAATGGTCCGTCTAATAATAACCTTAGATTTGAATATTTAGATGGTCTAGATTTGTTCTCGCGTTCTCAACCTTTTAAGTGTTTTTATTTAATCCTACTCATATATATAATATATATATATATATATATATATATATATATATATATATATATATATATATATATATATATATATATATATATATATATATATATATATATATATATATATAGGTTTGGGTCGAAACCGTAGACTACGGTTTGGGAATCCGTAGATTATAGAGAGGATATCGTAGACCGTTTTATGGTCTACGGTTTTGTTTTTGAAAATGAAAAAAAAAATTATACATCCAACGTAACCGTAGGCGAAAATGGTGAAACAGTTGCGGATTTGGCCGACCTACGGTTTTATGGACTATTTTGGGATAATTGTTAATTTTTGAAAAGTAATTAGGAGATTAGGCTAGTTTTACAATTATATATATTTTTTAAAATATGCATGTTTGCACATTTGAATGTTCATATATATGCATGCATGCATATTCGTGTTTTTTTTTTTTCAAAATCAACACAACAATGAAACTCTAATATCAACGTTTAAGAGAATGGTAATTTTAAAACGTCAAAGTTATATAGAAAACATAAATATGCACGCATACATATTTAAAAAAAAATAGTTAATTTTTTTTAGTCTAAATATGGTTTAGACATACAATCTGAAAAGTAATTGTGGTTTTGGTTTTGAAAAAATGACGAGCCGATTATGACTTTTTAAAATTCTTGTAAATTTTCTAAATTCTTAATTCATTTATAAAGGAAATATTTTTTTTGAAGGAAATTAATTAAAAGAATAAAACTAAATGAGAAATAAAATTTTCCTAAAAATAATTTTTATTAAGTATAAAATTCTAATTACTTTCTTTATTTAACATTACAAATTCATATTGATATATTCAAGTTCATGAAATAGTGGTTCGTTTATAAAATAAACAGTCCAAAAGAAATTGATGACCAAAATAGACAAATCATGTAGACATATAGTTGGTTACACTAAATGCAAAATAAATTGAATTGTCTATACCTATTTAAAATAAAATCTTAAATCTTAAATCTTAAATCTTAAATCCTAAATAATTAAATTCACAGACGAAGCATAAAAGTGTGTAATTAAGAAATATTTTAAAGAAAGGGGAATTGGGCAATAAAGAAATATCTGGTGATGCAAGGCGAACACGTCTTAATGCACGTGTAGTAAATCGAAAGGGCATTTTTGTCATATGCTCTATCGTTTCATAAAATCATAACCCTTCCCAAACAACTCTTCCAACCCCCGTTTCACAAACAACATATTTTTCAACAATTCTAGAGAGAGAAACAGACAGAGTGTGTGTATGTGTGTGAGAGAGAAAGATAGAGAGAGAAGGCGCAACAACTCTCTTGTATTTGTATCTGGCGCGTTGGTAAACTAACAGTCATTAAAGAGAAGTTCCAAGCCCATAAAGATCAAGAAAGAGCCAAGAAGAGAGAGAAAAAGTAACCTAAAAACACACTGAGCGTGTCTTTTTTTCAAGAAAGATACATACGGAGTTCTATATATATAGAGAGAGAAAGAGATAGAGAAAGAAAGAGAGAAGGAGAGAGTGTGAGAGGGGGGATGCCCTCAAAAAACCTCTTCTTTCTCTCACTAAAAAAGGCGATCGGAAAACCCAATAGCATTTGTTCATACGATTTGGCCTTTTGGGGTTTCAGTATATAGTGTTGATAGATTATATATATTTATTTACACACACACACAAGACACAACCGTATAATTGTATAGTTATTATTTATATATACATCTTTATAATCGTATAATGGAGATGTCACAGTCCGATCCGGTTACTGAATGGAATACATCAGGAGGCCAAACAGGGCTCGAAGGTAAGAACACTTGCATTATCATCTCTCAATCTCGAATTTGGTTGATTCAAATGCCAATTTGGGTGTTTTGATGGTGAATGCAGAGCCTATGTGGCAATTAGGGTTGGAATCATACCCTGAACGGCCGGATGAGGCCGATTGTATCTATTATTTGCGGACAGGGTTTTGTGGGTACGGTTCTCGCTGTCGGTTCAACCATCCTCGTGATCGTAGTTCGGTAAATATCTTCAAAACTTTCCAATGTACTCATAATGTGTTTCTTCATGTGATCATCTCTGTAATCTGTGTCTCATCAAAAAGCGAAATCGGTCTTTGAAATTAATGGATCTGTGTACAAATCGGGTATCCCAAGAGTTTTGTGAGGTTATCGTTCGTTTTTATTTGGAAAAACGTCGTCATGCATTGGGTTTAAGCTTGGTTTGATGAGTTTTGCCAGGTGGTCGGAGCTATGAGGTCTGCCGGAGGGGAATACCCACAGCGGATTGGGCAACCAGTGTGTCAGGTATTCATTAAAGTTCTCACAAATTTCAATCCATCAATGATTCTTGCTGTGTATGATGCATTTAGATACCTTTTAATGTCAAAAAGATCCCAATCCTGTTACTCAACAGTTTACGTCCTAGATTTGAAGTTCTTGCTCTGTCAAATGCTTGTTCTTACAAACACATGGGTTCTGTTTTTAATGGGATCTTTTAACAAGATACATTTGTCTTTTACATTACTTCCAAAATGGAACTTGAGTTTAGTTATTTGTTTGTTTGTTCCTATATTGGAAACGATTTTAGTTATAAATCGTTGTGAAACTTGAAGAATTCATATATAGATAACATATCACATTATGTCATCTTTAATGACATTTTCTAACGTTTGAACATGTATTTGTTGTATACCAATCATAGCACTAGACAAAATGTTTGTTTATTGTTGGAGTATTTAACATGCACGTCATATTCTTGTTGTATAACATTTAACATGATTGTGTGCTTATTTTGTTTCCAGTATTACATGCGAACAGGAATGTGCAAGTTTGGTGCTTCATGCAAGTATCATCATCCAAGACATGGAATCGGATCATCAACCACAGTGGTACTAAATATGTCTGGATACCCTCTTCGTCCTGTAAGTTGTTTCTTCTTTTTTATCTGATCCATTAAAATGTTCATATATTTTATTATAACTTATACTCTGTTTTTCACAGGGTGAAAAGGAGTGTTCGTACTATGTGAAAACAGGGCAGTGTAAGTTTGGGGTGACCTGTAAATTTCACCATCCCCAACCAGTCGGCATTACTCCATCACCACCACCACTACCACCACCACCACCTGAATCTTTTTCTCCTATGGCAGCTTCTGTTACATACCAAAGTATGCAATCTCCTGTTGCCTCTTCTCAACAGTATGGAGTGTTTTCCGGCAACTGGCCGGTTTCCAGACCTTCTCTTCTTCCCGGATCATATCTCGCCGGAAGTTATGGTCCTCCGGTGATGCTTCCCCCTGGAATGGTCCCATTTCCAGGTTGGAATCCTTACCAGGTATCTATCTATCTTTATAAAACTTTGTTCTCATTTGTAAAAAAAGAAAGAAAGATGAAGTACTAAAAATGAGATTACACAGGCACCTGTAAATCCGAATAGCAATGTTGGAGGAGGGTCGATGTATGCGATAAGTCCTTCTCATTTATCTCCAGCAGTTCCTTCATATGTTTCAATGGCGGAATCTGCGTTTCCAGAGAGACCTGGTGAAGCGGAATGTCAGTATTATTTAAAGACGGGGGACTGTAAATTTGGTTCATCATGTCGATACCATCATCCACGGGAATGGAATCAGCCAAAGACAAACTTCATGCTTAGTCCCATGGGGCTTCCCCTTCGTCCAGTAAGTATCTTTACACTTCCATGTTTTTTCATTAAACCAATGGTTTATATATACATTTTTTTTAAAAACAAATTTCAGGGTGCAGCGGTGTGTACACACTATGCCCAAAAGGGTGTGTGTAAGTTTGGACCATCTTGCAAATTTGATCACCCAATGGGTGGAGGTGGGACATTGAGTTACAGTTCATCTGCATCATCACTAGCTGACATGTCAGTTGCACCATATCCTGTTGGGACTTCCATTGGAACTTTAGCACCTTCATCTTCTTCATCCGACATTGTTAACAAAAACAAAGATGGTCTTTCTACCAGTACCAGTATAAGTATCGCTAGTGGTTCAGTGGGGTCCAGTCTGTCACAGAGCATGCCACTTTCACTTTCTAAATCCTCCAGTGGTGCTGATTGATGCCTCCAATGCCACATACAATACATTCCCAAAAATCACATTTCATCAACGGATCCTAACAAACATGCCATCCATCTTTTCTTCCTTTTTTTTTTTTTTTTTTTTTTTTTTTTTTTTTTTTTGGTTTTGGTTTTTGTGACAAGTTCTTTCATTAGGACTTGGATCTTGTTTTTTAGTGGTTTACATATTTACATGGCCTCTCCCTCCATTTTCACTTTCACTTTCACTTTCACTTTCACGTTACAAATAATAAGCCAAAACCAAACGCCCTCCCACATAAATATATAGCTAGCTAGCTAAACTTTTGAATAACCACAAGGAAGAAAAACGAAAACAAAAAAGAGCATTATCCATTGGAAAGGTGGTGTCTATTTATGTTGTGTATAGGAAACAAAAACGATGAAGGCCTGTTTCCTTCTTGATCTTCTGTTGTGCTTCCCTCCCCTCTGGTTATTTAATCTGAAAAGTGAAAAAGTGTTCTTGAAATGTGTTTTTCTCTCTCCCCTCTAATTGTTTTGTGGGGAAATGGATTTAGTTTAGACAAGTTGCAATAGAGTCTTCATGATATGATGAGATGTAAGGGGGGATTATTATTTGAATAATTTTATCTTGGACACCAAAACATTGAATATGAGACGAGAAGCTGGGATTTTGTAATCTCTTGTTATTACCATTTTGTCCGTTACCAGTGTTGATGTTATATGTATTCTCTTAATTACTGCATTTGAAGTTGGTATTTGTTAAATTTTCAATCACCTTTATCTATATGTAAAGCTGATTAGCATAATATCATGTTTCCAAGTTCAAACTTAACGGGGAAAAAAAGGAAAATCGATGCAAGTGAAAAAGAAAATGGTGTTCATGAATTTCATTAAGGAAAATCGATGCAAGTGAAAAAGAAAATGGTGTTCATGAATTTCATTAATGAAAGGAAAATGAAGGAAATTGAAAGAAAAATGGTGTTCTATGAGTTTCTTTATGACATGCAAGGATTTGGAGAGAAATATATAAAATCTTTATAATTTTCTTTTATTTTCGTTTTTCTTACTTTATTTCCCTCTTTTTTTCTTTGCTGAAACCTTTATGCAATATAAATTTGCATTTGAGTTTCGAAACTCACCCTCTTATTTGTCGGTGTAGAATAAGAGTGGCCCACAAAAAATCGTCCATATGTTATATGTAGTGGGGTTTCTTCTAATCAATCAAACTTGGTCAATGAACAAGACTTTTTATTAAAAATTAATATCTCTCAATGAACAATTCTTTTTCACGCATTAAGATAGATAAAAACTTGAAACTCTTTAATCCAACTTTGTTAAGATTGCAACCATTATCTTTCCATCATAGCAAAAACTATTTCAATCAACAGAGCAGAAGATCGGTCTTTGGATCCGGTCCCACCGCATTTGCTTTGGTCCAATCCTATTATACTAGAAATATGGTTGACCTCCGTCCATTACATTTTTCTTTTATCATAAAATACTCAAAGAATATGTAAAACAGTAAAAGATCTTTTGTACATAATTTATAAATTATTATTAAAACAACATTGTAATATAGGTCAATTACGTGCTTTATCTAGATATTTTAGTGTTTTAAATTATTAAAAGATATTATCTTTTTGAATAAGCTGAAACATAAAAATTAAGTTATATAAAACCTATAAATTAATATCAATTTAATATGTATAACTAAAATCTACAAAGATAAGTTTAATACCAAGTTTGTTTGATGTAAAATATTGGATAGAAGTCTTAATATAATAAGACAAGGGAAGAAAAAGTTTATCATCTCAATTGTTATTTGGTTTGACAATTCAACAAAAGTTTCAACAAAAATAATATAAATTAATACAATCATAAAAGTATTATTTTCACGGATCTATAACTTGAAAATAAAATATATATGTAGAAATACAAACATTTTATCTTGGTACTAATCATTTTTTAGCTTTTACCAAAAGGTCAAACACCAACTCCAACAATGATTCAAAGGGTAATCAAAGTCATTTTCATAACTCCATTAATACTCTTATATAATCTTTCGTGCTTCTGCAAGCAATCTGCTGGAGTCCATTTTTTAAAGTCAATTATCATTTTCGGAAAATCAATTTGTAATTTACTTTCCTTAAAATAATGACTTCAAGACTTTCAAGGGGTAATCCCATAATCCATATTAACAAGCCGTGTGGAACTCAAGTACTTACACGATCTAGGCGGCTCCACCACAACCACCGACCACCAGCCACCAGACAAACCAAAGCCCATATTACATTATTATTATTATTATTTTTTGGCAAAATTACATAAGCAATTGATGATTTCACATGTGGTGATGTGGATTATAACATCATACGATTTAATCCAAATATAATCAACTTAATAGTCTACAACATTTAAGCAGATAATCTCAACAATGATTTTGGTATTTTACAACACCATGGTCAGTTTCAATTACCTTCTGTTCATGTTATACACAAGTTTTGTCTCTCCAAAAAAGAAACTATCAAAATCCTTTTGAGAAGTAAAAAAGATAGAGCTTTTGGTTGTCCAAGAAACAAAATCTTGTGTCTAGTTCACCTGATCAGATTAAGAAGTTTATGTGGGTCATCAAAATCCATACTGATAACAATCACAGGGACGAGAAAGAAAAATGCACCTTCTGTTTTTTATTTTTCTTCTTCTTGTTCTTTTTCTTCAGTTTAATTGGTTTCACTTCCATTTCTTGGTCTTCTTCAATCATATCCTGCCACATTCAGAGTCTCACTTAAACATGGAAATTTACAGGAAAGATGATGACAGACAGCTTTTCGTAAGTGGATGATGAAAGCACCTCATAGTCGCCAAATGAGTTTACATGCTGTATTCTCCTTTCCGAATTTGAAGCATTGCCTGCATACAGCAGCTTGCATACATAAACCACAACATGATAGATACTACACCAAAATATGTATTTTCAAAATTAGGATGAGGATCATTACTTGCTCTAACAGTCTCTTTAGCATTTTTCACAGCCAATTCCACAAGTTTGGGATTAATAGAAGATAATCCACTAGGTTCCTGTGACTTCCGTTCCAGAAACTTGGCTAACGCAGCAGCTTTATTAGTTTTCATTGGTCCTCCAGGGTGCGCCAATCTGCAAGAATTTGTTTTTCCCAATTGTCAGCATAATAACTCAATCCAAGTATCCAAAGGCAACAAAAAGAGTCCTCCTACTTTGGAGGAATATTCTTATAACTCAAATTCAAACCAGAGATACAACTTTTCCTAGCATTTGTATATCGAGTTCAATAGTTTCTCACAGAAAATTCAGCAGATCTACCTAAATCCTTACATCTGACGAGAAATAAGAAGAAAAAGGAGTGAGAAACAGAAGGAAAAGCAAAGGTTGACCTAGGTTGAGATCGGGAAACGGTGGGGAGTGGAGATGGAAGAGGTGCAAATTTGCTTCCACGAAGAGCCTTTCGTTCATCCTCTGTCAGCCCCTCCATGTGGATCGGTTGTTGAGGGGATGAAGAGGAGGTAGCCGAGGAGATTGTGTCTGTAATTTATTAAGCGGCGGAGGGGGAGGGTTGAACTTGAAGGTTTTCGATATCATTGTCCCTTCAAAATCAAATTTGGGGAATTTGGAATTGGATTGGATGGCCGATGGGGTTCGTCGTTGCTGGTATTACATTTTTCTAATACCTATTTTGCCCTTCTATGTCATCTTCAAAAATCTGTATTTTTTTTTTTTTTTTGTTTTGTTTTGTTTTTTTCATTCCTGGTTATTAGATAGTGATATTCAGTATTGGGGTTAAATGAAAAGAACAACAACAGAAATAAAACAACCTTACCGAAATTAAAATTTGATATTAAATAATTTGTGTTTGGTTGGGTCTTTGGTTTTCTCATTTCATTTTCGGTTCGACTTAGATTGAACTTTGTTTTTACTTTCCGAGGTTGAAAATCAATATGAGGAACACATGAACATTATTCACTCTAATAAAAGCGGGAAATACTCCAATCGGGAGTTTCATACATTTTGCGAAAAGAATAGTATCATACATGAAAGAACTTCACATTTACTCCCCAACAAAATGTTTGGTTATTCGAGATAGTTAATTGCATGTTGAAACAATATGTGGGGGAAGCTTTATTGACTATTTGTTATGTGAACAATAGGATCACTAGTTCTGTAATTCCTACCGGTCCTTATGAGTTGTGGAAGGGAATACAACCTAACCTAGACTATTTGAGAATGTGAGGGTGTGTTATTAGACACCTGATCCTAAGAGATCCAAATTGGGAGCTTGAGCTATGAAGATTGTATTTATTGGATATGCATCGAACAACAAGGTTTACCGATTATTTGATGACGAATCAGGTGTCGTCATAGAATCCAGAGATGTGGAATTCTTCGAAGATAAGTTTTCAAAAGATGCCAATGTGGAACTAGCTCACTTGGTAGAGATGTAAGTCTCTTAGATTGTCATGTATATTTAGTTATTTATAACTATAATTATATCCATTAAAACTATATTTAAATGAAAATTTAACTATAAAGTATGTGTTTGAAATTTGGTTGTTTAACATGGAATTTGATTAGGCTAAGATATTGTTTGGTATGGAGTAATTGAATATGTAATGGAGTGAAGCATTATGACAGAAAAAAATAATAATATTGTGTGGTTGTCATAAAAAAATGGAATGAAGCATTAGGGAGTGAGATTTTTTATTCGGACTTTCATTTCATAAGGAAGATGTATTTTTTTGTTTCTTCTAGAAATGAAATGATATATATTTGCAATTACAAATTAGTTTTATGCATATAATTTTCAATCATATTTTTCATTTTAAAATTTTCAAAAGTTGAACACAATATATTCTTTTATTTTTTTAAGGAAAACCCTAGAAAAACCCAACCAATTATTCACTAATGTTCGAAAAAAACATTATATTATTTTTGTGTACGATAAAACAATTTTATGTTATGACAGAAGTATACAATCAACAAAACTTATTGAAATAAAACAAACGAAATTCAAATATATATAATATACAAGAATCAATTTACAGAAAACATACTTGTATGATGATTACACAGAGAATACAATCACGAAATTGTAGAGATTGAGGCCTGCTTTGCAGTGTCCTAAGACAGAAATTTCTCTGGTAGAGATCTGTCTAGAGGATACAACAATCAATCAAGATCTTCTCTTGATTCTGACGAAATTCACTATGTTCCCTTCATTGTTTGTGGAATACGAAATTATATAAGGAATTTGTGTGTGATTTTTCTCAACCCGAAATCTGGTCTTTGGTGATCTATTTATAGATATACATTGACTGTTTTTCCCTCCAAAACTGCCAACCAAAAACAACTGTCAAGACAGTTAAAACGAATTTAACAGATTTGTTTAATATAAAAATAAAAATCAAAATCGGAATTAATATATTATAAAATAATGTAACTAGTCAATGAGACCCCAAGGCCCAAGGCCAATCTTTTGACCATTAAATATATATATTAATCTAAGTCTTTCGACCAATTTGACTAGCCCAATCACCAAATCCAACCCAATCCCTTTAGTCCAAGCCTTTAATCTAATTGGTAAACAACCAATAGGAGACTTTTTAAAGGAGTATAAGTTTCCTCTTTCTTCCAATGTGGGACAAGTCCCATAGAGAAAGTTTTCATTTAACAAAGTTC